TAGTTATATATATATATATATATATATATAGATGCGTTCTTATGTATGCTAGTTGCTGTGCCGGGCTGGCCGACTCATACTTCAACTGCACGTATAGGTTCAAACCTCAACGAAACGACTAACCTCACTCCGTTGTTCTTATTATGTCTCTCGTCCAGAAACTGGTAGAAGGGGATATAGTACAAAGTTTAACGTTCTTGAATCTCCGGAACTGCTATGGCTTAACCGGTATGTTGTGGCCAGTACTTAGGCCTTGTATGTAATGTACGATACAATTGAGTATACGCTGTTGAGTAGGGGTGACCCCATTGGTTTGATAGTACTCTTCGAACTCGACAGGGCACAGAGACTTTAAGTGAATCTACCGCATGGGTTATATATGTATTGTCTATCACGTAGCTATGGGTTCGCATCGCTTAAGAGTGTGAGCGAAGATGTTCCAGGGCACATGGTCATCATTGAGAGCCTAGTCTATCGTCGTCACATTGTGCAAGGCACTATGTTCCACGGCGTCGTTGCTGCGCGCGAGAGGTTCGTCGATGTTTGAACCCGTTGGAGTTGCTTGCCGAGCCACTTGCCATACTTGGCACGTGCGATAGTTGTTCTTTAAACATCTGTGAGCATCCCATATCTACACAAAAACAGGCATCTATAATCTGCACTGGACACCTACATTTAATTACTACACCGTGTGCACCTGTTATTGGCATTCTTGCACTCTCGGCCTTACAGCTTCGACGGCTGTCATCGACCTGTCACCATATTTTTGGCTCATTCTGGTTTCACACGTGACACCCACTATTTTCAATGACCATTAGATTTAGTTTCCTATGCCGACAAACATTATATGTGAATGCATATAATCACTTGAAAGTAGTGTAATAAAAGATATATCAGCAGTTTGCATGTGGTTTGTTTTTTTTGTGCCGATACCACGTATCTAAGCAACTAAGTCTGCGTACATCGCCTTACACAGGTGCTGGTCTCCGGTGCCTCGATGAGAAATGCCCTAAGCTGGAGTACGTCAACATCACAAACCTCAAGGTGAGTGATATGTCTCGTTCGCGCTCTGATGGCTAGATAACATCCATTCTTGATACGAATGGCTACCCATGTCTGTCACATCCGTAGGGATAGAGCATCTGTAGGTTCTCGTGCCGTTTCGTGGTATAGTGATCAATGTGGGAATTTTGTACTGCATTCGTGTGCTCATACCCTGTTGGTCCGCTGGGCTCACTGCATAGCAACGCGTGTCGAAGTCGTGGCTTCAGCTGTGCTGAGGACAGACGCTAGTGAGTTAGGATGTGCAAGCATCTCGTGCCTGTGTGTTCTTAGCCAAACAGGCATCGTTTCACCATCCACTCTGGTAGTGTGCATAATCTCTTCGAATCGTAATCGCATGCATATTCCGTCTGCTACAAGCTTGTTAGTATGTGTGAGATGTGCTGTTGGTATGTGTGGAACGAGATGTACCTGCAATGTACCGTTAGCACGCATCTACCGTATACGATCTGGTCCAGTTCACGTGTCGGAGAATTATAGCACCTCCGTTGTACTCTCTTCTACTTAACGATCAACCATACACAATCATTCACTCAACTGTTTTTCTCTCATCGACCCTGAAGCATCCTACGAAGGTATAATTTATGCATGGCTGTATACTAATCTCATGTGCATCTACTGCAACATCTCTCTGCAGAAAATCACTGTAGAAGACATACAAGCCTGCACCAACATTAAGAAAATAGAGAACGTGGCCCCACTGGACTTAACGAGGGCTGGCTCCCCTCTGGCACCACGCAAAGGCTTACAAGCAGGCAATAACAGACCAGACGCTGCACTAGGACCTACACTGAACATCCCGCGGAGGACATTTGGGCCTGCCTAGCACATATTTACCACAGTATATTTGGCTCATTAGTGGCAGGGACTGGCGTTTAATCATACCCCTGATCCTGGCCAACTGAATAAAAACTCGGCAGATCATGAGTTGCGGTCATTAGTTGGTTTGTTCGGGTTTAGTGCACACAGCGCGTCCGTATAGAGTGACAGCTGCAGCCTTATATCATTCTGGCTGGTTGATCAGAAGCTTGAAACTAGCCTAACTTCTAACCTCTAACCTCGAACCCCTAGCCGCTAAAAACACTACTTCAGAATGTTTTTAATATTTGTTTTTGGAGTTATGCACACAACGGGCTTGACAATGGAGGCGGCCGGCGAGTTGTGTGTCCTGTCCGTTTGGCTGGTCATGAGTAGTGGAGAGTGCCAGTTGTAGTGACTATCGGTTCGGGCGTACTGCATATAGCGAGTAGTATTTGCTAGTGTTTATAATTTGGTCGGGCTAACTAATCCAGATTTGAACAGTTTAATATGGGTTGAGTTGGTGTGGGGGTTGATTCCGGCAGTCATAGAGTGAGTGGTGGCAAATACTGGCGATTAGCCTGAATTGAACTGGTAGCTGTCTTTGAAACCATGGGCCTCTGGAAGTGTCTTTCAGAAATGTTTTCCTGTCATGGCTACTCCATACTTCTCCCAGCCACTCCTGTACAGAGCCCTGTTAATAATGGACATTTTGTGGTTCTTCACCGGAAGAATATTATTTATTTCAATTTGGGTAAATTTTTATGTCTATATGCACATCAGGCTTCACATTCGCTATTGATTCTGGCAAGGCACATTACATACGTTCGTCGGATTGTGTTGCTGGTCATTACTTTCTAACGCAGAGCACTGCCCAATGAGGTACACCCAATATTCACCATCGCATCAGACCATTTCCGCATTTCGCATTTAGAAAAAAGGTCTGGTAAAACCCACTCAATCGAGTATTGACATGATATGATCGTCAGTCGAGCATGTGCATTCGCGGCAGTGCTGGATATGTCCGGTAGATGTAGGTAAATAAATCTTTATTGGTGTCTCACGGTTGCTCATCTCGAAGCCGTTTGATATCAACACATTCCAAGGAAAGTGCATTGGGTGTGGTAGTCCTGGCGATGCACACAAATCCTCTCAATAAAATAATTACTCATTGAAGCTATACCTCAGTTTCGTGGCTTGGAGTCTACTACATAAGTAAATATTGGCCATCGCCAATAGTGACACTTTACTGTGACTGTGATGTTGTGCTCCTTTGCATATATACAGTAGTCGCAGTACATTCAAAGTATATGTACCACAACTGAACCTGTACGGCTGCTAGATCAGCGGATGTGACTAAGGCGAGTGCACAGCAACTACTGACTAGGCCAAGTTAGCAATCCGGTGCATGTATAGCGAGATACAGTATCTGAATCCTAATATGACTGGGCGAAGACCCTCGAAGGCGCAGTCATAGAACAGGTCGAAGAAATGGCGAGGAATAAATTCAATTGAGGTAGTCGCAAAGTGATTGAGAGCCCATTCTACTATGATAGACCAGATGTTGCAGACTTCACAGACACACTAGAAACTAACATCAGTGGACGTCAACCCACCCAACACATCGCGTGGACTGACCGACTCTCCTGCTTGTTCAGGAAGGGGTCGGGGCCACAGTGCTAGCTCTTACTTTATTGCTTCCTGTGTATAGCTCTATAGTAGTAGTTCGCAGTGCTAGTTCTCACTTTATTGCTTTCGGTATATGCTCATAGCATTTGTAGTAGTTCACAGTGCTAGCCCTCGTTCCATTGCTTCCTGACTAGGCCCATAGCGTTTGTAGTAGTTCACAGTGCTAGTTCTCAAGCCAATACTTTCTAGGTAGGCCTATAGCTATTGTAGTAGTTAACAGTACTAGTTCTCACCCCAATGCTTTTTGCGTAGGTCCATAGCTATTGTGGTAGTTCACAACGATAGTTCTCACTTTAATACTTGCTGGGTAGGCCCAAAGCTGTTGTAGTAGTTAACAGTGCTAGTTCTCTTTCCAAAGCTTTCTGTGTAGGCCCATAGCTATTGTAGTAGTTGACTATGATAGTTCTCACTTGAATAATTTCTGGGGTGGCCCAAAGCTATTGTAGTAGTTCACAATGACAGTTCTCACTTAAATGCTTCCAGGATAAGCCCATAGCTATTGTAGTGATCACAGTGCTAGCTCTCACTTCAATGTTTTATGAGTAGGCCCATAGCTATTGTAGTAGTTCACAGTGGTAGTTGTCACTTTAATGTTTTATGAGTAGGCCCATAGCTATTGTAGTAGTTCACAGTGGTTTTTGTCACTTTATTGCTTCGGTGTAGACCCATATTTATTGTAGTAGCTCACAGTGGTAGTTCTCACTTTAATGCTTTCGGTGTAGACCCATAGCTATTGTAGTAGTTCATAGTGCTAGTTCATTCTTTAATGCTTTCAGTGTAAGCCCATAGCTATTGTAGTAGTTCACAGTGGTAGTTGTCACTTTATTGCTTCGGTGTAGACCCATATTTATTGTAGTAGCTCACAGTGGCAGTTCTCACTTTAATGCTTTCGGTGCATACCCAAAGCTATTGTAGTAGTTCATAGTGCTAGTTCATTCTTTAATGCTTTCAGTGTAGGCCCATAGCTATTGTAGTAGTTTACAGTGCTAGTTCTCACTGTAATGCTTTCTGGGTAAGTCCATAGCTATTGTAGTAGTTGCCGGCTACGGGCACGAACGGTTTCCCGCCTTGTCCTTTTAAGGCAAACATGATGGTGTCGGCATTTGAGGCATCTGATTGGTGCACTTGGATGTGCAGGTGCGGTGACGGGCAGAACCCGACGCTTCCGGACAAGCACAGAATGTCCCCCTCAGTGACGCGGTCGCCTTTTTTGGGTTTAATAGACATATAGCTTAGTTGTGTGTGATGAATATCTTATATAGTGGCAACAGGCCCAGCTGTCTTCACAGGACTAATTGGGCACAATAGCAGCTATCGGAGGTGATATGCTGGTAGGTACTACACCCACCAGCACATCATGTATCGTTTCAACTACTGCACCTTACCTCCAATCTACTTGCGATCGGCGATGGCCTATGTGATTTACTTCCAATGCGTCACGGCATACACTGACATTGTAACGAAAGTTGTATAAAAAAAATCATACCTACTGCGACGCGGGCGCTGTCCGTTTGAGTGTGTACATATTCGACAAATCGGCCGTCATCCAGTTTGAGCATCATCGAGTTCCATTTATAAAGAAGTGATATGTGGATGCCTCCCTCCGTGTTGGCCTGCTGAATGCTCATCACCTCCCCGTCCTGTGTATATACGCAAGTGTGTGTACTTAAAATGTTACTAGTATGTGTACTTAACATGTTACTACTATGCACTGTGGAGAGTGTGAACCAACTACATCCATGGGGGGTCTGGCGCTCCCGTCCGTCTCGGCGATTGTTATATCTATCCCACAACCAGAAACGTACAGAGAAGTGCAGATAGCGGCACAAGCAAATGTATGATCAGAATATATATGCAACATACAACCCCAGAATACCTATATGAGATATATAATCATAGTAACTACATGAAATATAAAATCATGATATCTACATGATAAGTAACCCCAGAATATCTACATGAGATATATCACCATAATATCTGCACGAAATATAAGTTTATAATATGTACATGAAATGACCTCAGAATATCTACTTGAAATATATAACCAGAATTTCTACTTGAAATATATAACATTTCTAAATCAAAATATGTACATGACACATAAGCTATCTAAATAAAAAATCCACATAAAATATATAACATATCTAAATCAGAATATCTACATGAAACATACAGCAACAGCACGCACGGGCGTTCCCGGAGCACACGCCAGGTCGATGGCGTGAAGTGTACCAGAAAAGTAATGCGTGAAGGCTCCATTGATGCCCTGTGAGCACAAATAGGCCTCTTCAAACCCCCCTTCGCCCAGCGGAAAGGCGTACACGGGGACTTGGATATTCTGATTGCCAGCGGATATGGTGATCACATTCTGTGGCGGACGGCTCAGTTGGGGTTTGCCTACATCGCTTGCACTGGACGTCTCATCGGTGTGTGTGCTTTGGCTCGATTGCTTCGCGTGGAAGTCTTTAGCTTCGTCATCGTTTCCAGTGGGAGCGCAGGTGCTGTCAGTGGCCGTGTTGGTTGTGGCTGCTGTAGTGGGTTTGGGGAAGAACACTGACGCCGGCATATCTGTTCAGCGCGATCAGTGACGCGGAAGGTAATCAGTACGTCAGTTGAAGAGATATGCGCATACAAGTAGCAATTGTTATTAATATATTCAACATAATAGCACACTTAAAACGCATGGGAATTTTATGGAAACGGCTGTGCGTATACATCTATTATGGCATTGCGTAATCCGGCGGTTGATCCAACGCGGAGATATGCGTTTGCCGATACTATATATAGAAATATCTCCTTTGTAAGCCGTGCCATCGGGGCCAACATTAGTCACCCGCTATCATACTTAAACAATACGCTGCCTGGACGCGTGTATGTACCTCACGGTTACTGCTCACTCGACGTGTGAATGTACGCCACAGTTACTGCTGACTATACATGTGAGTGTAGTTCAAGCCTGATGCTGTATAGGGTTTGACAATTCGATCTCGCAGGCACACTATCCTTGCAGTACATTCACGCACATACGCAACCCATCGGTGGAAATGAGAAAAGGATGGGGCCAAATGACACACGACTATAGACGAGAAAAAATATATACCACTACGCTCAATTATCCGGAACATATGCATATACTATTCAGAAAAGTAGATACAAAGGTATGCAGGCCGTAATATATACCATTGTGTGTGCCATTCTTAAAAAATTGTATACTATGAATTGGTACAGTGCACCACCGATATCACCAAAGTACACACAAATATATAAAAATACGCATCCTCAACAAACAAGACATATATATACACATAAATATACATCCTACACAGACTATAGTACTCCGCGCGCACATGACCCGCAACGAATAGCTCACACAATCATCGTGTACACACTCAACAGACCAATCCCATCCACCGCTTCTTCCATACCATTGTCTCCGTCACTCTCCTTCTCCACAGTACCCTCCTGAGGTGTGTCAGTATCCGTGCCCATGTCTGACTTCCCCGGATGGTCCGTCAGGTTCTTTATATCAGACTGGAGGTCAAACTCCTCCTCGCGTGTGTACTCATTGGGCTCGAGATAGCACACGTCCATGATGGTGTGGGGGGGTAGTACTGCCACAAAAGTGGTGCATGAGCTGCGCGCGTCGTTACCGCTGACTGTACATGAGCCGTATGCGCCGGCCTCAAGTATGTCCCCGCCGTCGCTTATTGCTGTTAGACCTATAGACGATACAGGCAACCGATTGAGTCGGTTGGAAGTAACATGTAACCGGACTCAGATATACGTGTATAGATACAGGTATTGATGAATACTCACTGACGTATGACCCTTCAGTGCACCACATCTGTAAACGACCATTCGCAAACCGCTGTCAAAGTCTGCGAAAGTCCTCAAGTAAACATTTGGGACCTGAAAGTACGGCTTGTTACGATTCAGATCTGTTTGCTA